GGCGGGACACTGAGGGTTGCGATCCGTTGCCGGTCACGAAAAAAGACAAAAAGGAAAAAAAAAAAAGACTGTTGGGCAGAAAACAGTTACCACAGCAGGCCTCAAACTGCCATCTTTAAAAAAGCATGTTTTGAAGGTTGACTTTTCACTGTCTGGGAATTTGAATGCTACCAGTTCCCTACATTGATCTAAAACTCCCCTAAGTAATAAGTGTGGCTCACTGTGCCTACATTGTTTGTGGAAGCAATATGGTTAATGTTGAACACTTGCCTGCTTCTGGGAGTCAAGAATTTCAGTGGCTGAAATTGTGCCTACATGACCAACCTCCAATAAAAACCTTGGACTTCAAGGCTCAGGTGAGCTTCCCTGGTAGCTAACACTTTGTGTGTGCTGTCACAACTCACTACTGAAAGAAGTAAGCAGGTCCTATGTGACTCTACTGGGAGAGGACTCTTAGGAGTTTTTGCCTGATTTCCTCCAGTCTTTGCCCCATGTTCCTTTTTGCTTTGGATCTTTTCACTGTAATAAATCTTAGTTGTGAATATGACTATATGGATGAACCCAGTGAGTCCATCTAGCAAATCATCAAACCTAGGGTGGTCTTGGGAACCCTTAACACAATTATATGCATATTTATCTTCTTCTGTTAACTTAGATACGTATAAATATTTAAGAAAAAATTATAAAACTAATTGTGAAGTTCATAATATATTTAATAACAATATATAATATATATTACAAGAATAGCAAGAGGGGCTGACCAGTTAGCTCAGTTGGTTAGGGCACAGTGTCAATAACACCAGAGTTAAGGGTTCAGATCCCTGTACCAGCCAGCTGCCAAAAAAAAAAAGGATAGCAAGAGGACCAGGGTGTTAATAAAGCTATACTGTTGAAAATTTCCTATATTTAACATCAATATTAAGTTTAAGTAGCTTTCATAAATAGAAGATACATACTGTAATCTAGAACACTCAATATTTTGCATTTTACTGTAGATCAATTACATTTCTTTTTTTTTTTTTCCCTTTTTGTCTTTTTTCGTGTCTGGCAACGGATCTCAACCCTCAGTGTCACGCCCGTACCAGACCGGGACCAGCAACAGGATCACAACCCTTGGTGTTGCGCCCGCACCTCGCTCAGCCAGTGAGCGGGAACCGGTCTGTATGTGGGATCCGAACCCTTGGCGGGAGCGCCACTGCGCTCCCAAGCGGCGCACTGTAGCAGTGCGCCACCGGACTGGCCCTACATTTCAATTTTAAAAATAAAACAAAGAGATACAGCTAAAAAGCCAATAGAGGAATCAAAATGGAATACTAAAGAAAGAACAAAGGAAACAAAAAATCAAATGAAACAAGAAAACAAATAGCTAAATTGCAAACCCAAATCCAACCATGTCAATAATTACATTAAATGTAAACATTAAACATAAACATAAAATGGACTAAATATTTCCATTAAAAAGCAGAGATTGTCAGACTAGATAACAGGGCAGGATGCAACTATCTGCTATCTAAAAGAAATTCATTTTAAATATAAAGCCATAGATAGGTTGAAAGCATAAGGATGGATAAAGATATACCATGT